TTTAATTATCTTATTTTTTTATCTTACATTAAAGTATATTTACGTTATTATTTACCTTAGTTTTTTAAAGAGAAATTAATGACGAAAAATCTATACATGAAGATAATATTGTTAAAATATATGCTTTTAATCAAGTACAGAGGGTATTTACATAATTTAGAGCAATTCGGTATAGAATTTTAAAAATGCAAATATATTGGCAAAAACATTTTCAGGCAACAGCGTAGTATTTGAAATTAAAATTACTGTCTGCTGTACACTTTAAAATGCATTCTTCCTCTTAAGGAATACTTTCAAAAATAGATTTTTGACATTTTAGAGCGAAAATGTTCCTAATTAAAAAGCGTCATAAAACATATGATATAAAAATTTCAACTTCCAAAATAAGCAGCATTTTTTTATCCGAAAGGAAGAAGTCGACAATCACCTACATAGAAAACTATTCTAAATAAATACTTAGAAAACACATGCAAACGATTCCAAAATAGTCACTGCTAACAGGGAAAATCCATTGGCGTTGAAATCAATTACAAACATCTGTGGTCTTTATAAAAAAAGACAAAAAAAATGATTTACAGTTTACAAAATTAAAAATATAATTATCAACCCCTTTAGCCGAGGCATACGGCTCACACAAGACATTGGGTAGCGCTCTGTATCAAAACAATTTAGCAGGATAAATAAAAATACTTTGTTGTTTTTGTCGAAGTATGGATTTTACTAAATGGGGACTGCACAAGGAAAAAGGTACATTTACTATTCATAATGTGATGAATAAAATACCCTGAACCAGGGTTGGGGAGACTTATGGACTACTTAAATCTGTATGGTGTTGCGGTCCACCCAGTTACGTAGGTGTGGCCAATATTGTAATAAAATTATATGTTTTCTTTTTTTACACTTGTTTTCTGAACTGTACCCCTCTTCAATTATGACAGATTACAACTAGGGATAATCAGAAAACAAGGTTACAAGCCACAGTATTTGAAAACTACTTATTGTGGAGAAATTTTATTTCCCCAGAATGGAGGCAAATGAGGCTACTTGTCATACAGCTGGTTTTCGGGTAGGTTGTGAAAGTTCCCAGACGGTTCAGGTTGATTGAAATGGCAAAAGATTAGAAAATTGGTCACGTTCGGAAATGCGAGCCGTGATTCGATTTTTATCGACAAAGAATGTATCCCCCCCCCCGCATCTGAGAAAGCAGTGCAGAATGAGATGACAACATGTAGCGAAATGATGTCACACTTTTCAATCAGGTAGATAGAATGCCAAAAACCGCAATACGGCAGGAAGCGGCCGTCCAAATTCTTCAACGCCATAACTCTGAACGAAATCTCGTTAGAGCTGGGACAGAGCTATGGTAGCGTGCAGCATATAGTTTCTGCTGTGCTGCGATATTCCAAGACAGTGCTGTGAATACAACTGCCGAGATCTGGTTCAATGTGAACAGGGACCTGAATTCTACCAAGGCGCGTTAAATAACTTGGTTCTGCATTTTGATAAATGCCTAAAGAGACTTGTTGATTATGTTGAAATGTGATAGGCACGTATGCCTCTTTATTTTTTTTTTATTTTCTGTGTATTGTTAATAAATATTTCTTTATTTGACTTGTAACCTTTTTCTTTGATCAACTCTCGTATTTTACTACAAAAACACAAGTAACACAATGTTGTCAAGTTGAGCGCTTGAACAACTATGAGTAACTATTAAACCGCAAAGCATGGTTGTGTTCAATGCAGCGAGAAGAGAACATGTGTGGATTGTTGACTCTGAAAACGACGTATGTACTTAATTTGACCGCGCCATCTAGGGACATAAAACCAGCACGAGAACCCAATCCTGTGGAAGCGCGAGATGTGGGATGATTTCTCAACAGGTGACCATCAATATTTATTCTCCCTTTCAGTTGGTGTGTGGGAGAAAATTCATTTAGACTGCTGGCATCACAGAAATCGCTTCTTACCCATAAGGGTGCCATTAGTGTGTTAAGTTTTATCGTGCCCTTCCAATGGAGATACATGTGCCGTCTTCACGTTTATTGAATCATTTGCATAAGTAAACACAATCGCGTCGATTGTGAATATTCGATTCTCCAGTCCAACTGGCGTCGGTGTTCCATAAATATGTTTCATTTAGTATATGCGTTTTAGGTTTTAGTAAAGGTGGTCACCCCAAAATGTCTTGGTAGTCCACCGGTCGATCGCAATCGATTAAATTCTCATCCCTGCCTAAGACTGAACACGAAAATGCGAAAAAAAAGGATTGTCGAAATTGTCTCATATAATGAGAATCAAAAATAAAAAGAGTGAAAAATCACTTTAAAATCAGCTCCTAATACTGTCAGGAGAATGATCTATATCCAATATTTACAGAAAACATTCCATGTATTTACCTTATCGATTTTCAGCAACTTTAACTTAATCAAAGAAAAGCCATCAGTCATATTTCAATAAACACCACTGGTTTTGACGAAAAAATGAAAACAGCCACAAGTATTTCAGTGATATATTTTCACCGCATACCTTCCAAATTCACTGACGTTTCTACTATGGATTTTTGTGCTATTGGGTCGCTGAAAAAGGCTTTTCTTAAGCACAAACTTGCCACAATTGATGGTTTGAGGAAAGCAGTGAAAGAAAAATGGCAAGCAATATTCCTGAAAAATGTACGAAATGCTCTTCCATCATGGAAACATAATACAGAAATTCGTAATCAGAGCGAATATTTAAAAATTAATCTTTACATTTTAAACATTTAAAAAATGTATAACTTCATTAAATTTTATGTAGAACTTTTTTGATTAAAAAAAAATGTCCACCGCAAACTTCTTCTGTGAAGCTTTAAACATAAAATGGCCCTTAGAGATCGTAATGTATAAAACATATTTTTAAAATATTGTGCTACATTTAAATTTAGAAATTTATAAAAATATCAGTTCTTGAAGTTTATTTATAATTTCAAAATCAAATTCAATTATTCTTTGAATTTCTACAAAATTTTATCAATGAAAGTGTCTTTTGAAAAAAAAATTCGGTACTTACGTACTATATGAATAAGGCCAAAGGTCTAGATAGTTAGCCAATTTGTCAACCTAGAATTCGCATGTGACGTACGCGCTGAATTGGCAACCATATGCTTCGTTTCATATAATGTCGCTAATACGGTTGCAATAATACGTAACTACCAAAAAAATTCTAATAGGTAATTCAAAATGAAATATTTTTTTAACTTTTAAAATTAAAATATATAACTTTATTTTACCACTACGCTTAAATTTTTTTTTAAAAAAAACTATTTCTGTATTACATTAATAACGAATTTTCTGAGAAAATATTAAATTCGATTTATTAGTTTCCTCTCTTTAGAAATTAAAGCAATTTCATTTTAACGGAATGCATAATCTTAATTTATGGTTCATTAAATTTTCTCACTGAGAAAAACACTTTTATCTTTTTCTCTGTGTCTAACTATCTCTTCTTTCAAATTTATGAAAGAAATACTTTTTATCATGTAAGCCGATACGAGTTATTCTACCGACCAAGGATTTTCATTTTAGTTCTAGATCTCTAAACTTGATTCAATAAATCGAAAGTACAATGTAATACTCTTGGTCTTTCTGATGACGGATTTTCTGCCTGAATATATGAATTTCTCGCTTTTTAGATTTATTTTCTTAGAATAAAAATTTTAATGAACTTTCATATAGTAATTTGCGATTCACCAATGATGTTCTTTTATTGGATATTTTCAATTTTTGTTATCGGATATATGTGATTGATTAAATACTATTTATAAATTTCAGATTGTGTTTTAGTTTTTCAATTCTTATTATTAGTCTTTTTTACACTCTCCCTATATTTATTTATATATCTTGTTCAAATTTTCAATCGCTAATAAGATACTTTTTATTCATATTCTCAAGTTCAAATACATTTTTTAGGCTTTTAGTGGATGATACTTGATGTTAATACAGTTTTTACAAATATTAATTATATTTAATTAATGAATAAATAGTAACAAACAAAATCGTCCAACACCATATATAAAAAGGAAAATCACTCGTTGTATCCCGGTAGCGCATAGGTTCTCAACGTGGGCGATAACGCCCCCTTGTGGGTGTTTGAGGCTTTCAGGGGGCAGTAACAGACCCAGAGAAAATTAAGGGACGTTGAGATGGCACGGAGGGGCTTAGGCAGATTAACCAAAAAAGACTTAAAAAACATGCTGATTATGTACTAACAAAAGTAAACTTTAATACTTTTTACTATGTTGATAGTATGTATTTAAATCATTTCTATACCATACGAAAATTCACATATTTCGGTAGTTCAGGAAGTGGATGAAAAACTTAAAGATTACATTACATTCAGACCTACATTAAATTGAATGATACAGGGCATTTTAGTTTCTGTAGTGCACGTGTTGTTTTTGTCTGTGAGCAGTAGGAAACATGTTTCGTTCACTGCATTTCATCACGAATATTACCCAAGAAACATAATTAAAAAGAGTAACTAGGATTTAACGTGATTATTTAAAGGCTGAAACTGTAAATTTATATTTATTTTGAAAGCAATTGTTTATTATGAATTACTTCGTATCATCAAAAACCCTGCCTGTTTTTATAACAGTAAGCTAAGACTTTTATTCCATTCTTTTAAATGAAGAAGAAATTCAGTAGCATGTGTTTCAATTACAACAATATCCTACCTATGACTAAAATATATAATATTACTCATTTAAATATATTTGTGGCAATAGATATTTCAGATTCTCAAGTAAAACAATTGGCTTTAAAAAAAATTAAATTAAAAAATATATTCTTCTAGCAATAGGATATTTTTTTTAAAGAAAATCTTCTTTTCACCATGTATTATGTTCTCTCTTATTTCTCTAGAGTGGGAGGGGGCGGTATCGAAATATTCCCTAGAAAAAGGGGCGGTATCGAAATATTTACTAGAAAAGGGAGCGCCAGTTCAAAAAAAAGTTGAGAACCTATGTTGTAGCGCAATGAAAATCGCTTTCCAAAGAATTGGACTTCTAATCCAAAGATCGTGAGTTCGAATCGCACCTGCGATGACCTAATTTCTGAGCATGTCATTTCTTTTTACAATACTATTTTATTGGAATACTTAAATTTAATTAATGAATAATTAGTAACAAATAAAAATATAGTCTAACACCATATATAGAAACGAAAATAGAAAATTGCAAGGTAATTCGCTTTATAATTTGGCACTTAATATTGTGGTCCTATCCTATTTATATACATATTTATATTAACTGTAACTATTTAATAAAAAGATAACTAAAGTAAAATGTTTCTTTGTTGAACCTAAATAAAAATTGAATTAATTTTTTTTTTATATTGCTTGTTAAATAAGAGATCAAATTCTTTCCAGTGCAAATGAAATAACGCTGTGTTATAAATTATGTTTGCTAAAAATTATTTACAATAAAATTATTTTTAATTATTTATACTTTTTGTTTGTATTGAAATGTTTAATAAATAACAATAAATGTTTAGTTTGATATTCTTCTATCGTTTGGCTTCGTATACGATGCTGTATTTGAAATAACTGATAATAATTGAAATAAAAATCACGTGATACGTTCAATACACGCAATGTCTTCTGTAAACGTTGGAGTTTTGAGTGCAAAGAAGGAAAGTTATAATATCTGTTTAAATTTTGTGATTTAAAAATAAGATTTTTTTTGTTTAATCCGAATTTTTTAAATGCATGCATTATAATACCTAAAGCACGTCATGGAGATATAAGTTCATGATTACGTTTCTTAAAACATTGTTTTAATTTTTTTGTTAGACTGGTTTCTTTCTTAGAACTACTACTTTGTTACATTATATACTTTTCAATATTACTGCAGAAATATTGCGTATATGCTCCTTTTGTATGCCATTTCTCACACAAATTGTTCTATACATTTATCAGTCTTTACTAATTTGATAAATACTTAATTCTAATAAGAAACGAAAAGGCTTTGAATATATTATGTTGCTAAGTTACATCTTTTTTTCTTCGTTAGATAATTAATTGTTATAATCTAATTAATAAAAATGTAAGAAATTAAAAGATTTTTGGGTATTAACACTTTTTTACGGAAAGAAAAAAATAATAAATGAATAAATGTTGCTCAAATGCAGTAAGATTTCACCAAAGAAATTTTTTTGATTCGCTAACAAAATTAATAAAATAAATTGTACTTTTTATTTTAAATTTTATAGGATTTGTAACGTTACGGTTCCAGCTAGACTTCATTTGCATTTTTGAGGATTCTAAAAAAAAAAGTGGTATTCCTTAAAATTCACTGAGCAACCCAAGCAGTCAATTTAAAACCGTACTCAAGAATTAAAAAAATAACTCTAATTAAGCGGGAAGAGTTAGTGGCTTTAAATGTTTCCATAAATTAACAACTATTTTAAAAAAAAAGAAACTTCCTCCAGAAAAAAATTATAAAATTACTAACTTGTTCCAAAAGAGAGAAAAAAAATTATGGTGAAGTTCCGAAAATACAGATTAAAAAGACCACCACATAACTGATTTAAACAGGATTAGGTGCGGTTACCATACTGCCCAGTAACTCTTACTTCGTCTATTAGCCATTGACGTCACAGCGGAGCCAGTTGTCATGGCAACCGACCGGGCGGTTCATTTGCTGAGAGATTTGCACAGAAAGATCGGATTCTTTCAAAAGAGTCAACTGCTTACTATGAAAAAAAAATAAAATAGCTCACCTGGATGTTTATTTTATCAAATTACGAAAAATGAAAGCTTGCATTGGATGGATTTGAGTGCCCAATAAGGGTTTAAATATGCAAAGTACTGCAGAAATATTAAGGTTTTTTCCTCTTTAAATACTCCTTAATGTACTTCACCTTTACTATTAAGGTGTAAATTCGTTTTGATGCAGACACAATACAATTTTTTTTTCAATTGCCCTATTACTTTTGAAGTAGAATGTCTACAATCTAATCCAAGGGATTCAACTTCCTTTTAAATCGTGCGCAGAAATAAATTTTAGATCTTTGTTATGTTTGTTCAAATAAATAAATCACAAGTAATTGAATAGTTTTCATGCAGTTTCTTAAGGCCATTTATGCATTTATTTTAATGCATAAATCTCTTTTAAAAAATCATTGAAAAATACAGAGACATTCACATAAGATTTTCAGATCGAGAGAAAAATAAGTTACTTATGCTTTTTTTCAATTTTAATTTAATATCATACAGATTAAAGTATTTGATTCAGAATTCTATACGATTGCTGTTTTATTTATATATATGTCATCGTATTTTCTAAATTATTTTAAATTAAATATTGATTCATTTATATTTTCATCAATTAATGCGATCAAAAATATTCCTTTTAATATACAAACGCAGGTATTTTTTCTCATGTATACGTTTTGAGTATTTTGAGATCAGCTTGAAAAACAAAATTGTACTGTTGCTAAGCTAAAATTTATTTCATTTTTTCAATTCCTACTATAAGTTCACTTTCTACATATATTTATTTATATATGTATTTATCTTGTTCAAATTTTCAATCGTTCATAAAATGTTTCTTAAAGCACTCAATTGAGCTGAAATTTTATGTACACGATTATTTTGGTTGACAATACAGTAATTTAATTATAATTAATAAAAATTAATTGATTAATTCTAATTATTCAAATAATTACAAATACAGCAACTTTGGCATCATTTTTGGCGACTTAGCAACCATTTTGATGACTTGTGTCAAAACTTGAAAAGGTTTTTTTCTCACATTCTAAATCACTCAATTTTTCTGAAATTTTCTATACACTATTGTTTTGGGTAACAAAACGATAATTTAATTATAATTAATCAAAATTTAATCAAAATTAATTGACTCAAATTAATTTTTTAAAGAATTACATATACAACTTCATTTTTAGTGACTTGGGTCAAAGCTTTAAAAGATTTTTTTATCTCATGTTTCAAAGCATTCAGTTGAACTGAAATTTTATATACACGATTGTTTTGGATGACAATGCGATACTTTAAAGATAATTAATATAAATTAATTGACACTTAATGTTGTGATTCTGTCATATGTATATACATATTTATATTAATTGTAACTATTTAATAAAAAAGTAACTAAAATATTTTTTTTGTTGATCTAAGTGAAAATTGATTTAAAAAAATTGGTTTTATATTACTTGTTAAGAAAAAAATTTAAATCAAATAAAAATTATTATTGTTGCCATTGTTACTATTGCTCTTGTTATTATAATTGATGTTGTTATTATGAGTGAGTGAGTGAGTGATTTTGGGGTTTATTGGCGCAAGAGCCGATTTCGACTATACTGCGCCAAACATTTGTTTTAATATCTGTGGTCTAGACGGGAAGAGAAAGAAAGAATGAATTGAATGACAAGAAAGAGGGTCGAAAATAGAGAAGGATCACTAGGGTACCTCGGGTTCGTGAAGCCCGTGTTTACCAAAGACAGTAAACCTCGTGGGAAAAGGAAAAGATCACTAGGGATGTCGTTATTATAATTGCTGTTGTTATTATAATGGCTGCTGCTATTATTATTGCTGTTGCTATTGTTGTGTTTTATATTAATAGTGCTGTTTTTGCTATTTTAAATCCGAAGGAACCCAAAAAAGTTGCTTAAAGGAAAGTTTAATTGTACACATTTTTCAAACTGTTATCATAAGCCTTTTTTGAAACATGTTCTTCAAAATTTTGGAGGTAAATTCTTATGAACTTAGTTACAAAAATTATTTAAAAATATTCATAAAGTTAGAATTTCTTTATCAATATTTTAATTAAAATTAAAATAATAAACTGCTACCACATTGTTATTTTTTAATATGTAGCAGGATTTAAGTTCAAAGTGCACGCATTTTATTTAAAAATATGTCTAGCATATTCTTCTAAACATTAAAAATTTTTGCTTTCTGTTATAGTTTGCTTTTTGATGATAAAAGATAAAAAGGTGTCAAGGGTTCCATTGCAACAAAATCATGCTTAGATTCAAAATAAGTTTAAACTGTTTTTTTTTCATAAAGTATCAAATTTAATAAATGTTACATTTACCAAATTTAAATAGTTTAAAACATTCTACCAAAAAATAACAGTGGATATGTTTTTTTCTGGATATAGTGTACTTTCCATACACTTTTCTTACTCTTCAAATGCTCCACATTCTATTAAAAAGCTTAAAATATGCCAGAAATTTTAATACTTGAACTTGTCTTAGGTACAGTAAAATACTTTTCTCTTCTGAACTGGATGGCGATGGTTATTGGATCGCTAAAACTGATTAAAGGTATCCAACTGGTTGCGACAACTTTTTTTTTTAAAAAAAAGGAGATATGGAGATTTTTTTGTTATTTTTAGATTTGTTTAGTGCATTTTAAGAAAAATGTGCTAAAATTAAGAAGAGAAAAAGAAATTATTATTACTAAAATGGGAAAAAATAGGTAAAAATTGACAAAAAATAGCATAAACGCGGCCCATTCTGCACCAAAGGTTTATGAACAAATTTTCAACTTTTTCAATCTAATGTGTTGCTATATTATACAATTTTGAAATGACCTTCACGATAAGAGATATTTTCTTTTTTATAAAAACTAGAGCCCTTTATCTCGGTTACTATATGAAAATGCTTAAAAAGACAGTGATTATATTCACACAAGGGACTGTAAATTTTGTAATAAAACAGTGATCGATAAATCTGAAGTTTAAAACAATTCTACTATTATACAGAACTTACAGAAAAAATTTCAGTTAATTATGTTCAAAAATTTTTTAGCAATCGCTGACCCCGTTTGATTATTTTCAAAAAATCACATTTTGAGTAAAACGCGTTTTTAAGTATGACATCTTGCTTAAAGTAATGGCATCTGCTTTTACTAAAACACTTGTAGTTTTTGTTCTAGTAAACGGAAAATGAAAAACTTGGTATTTTTATAAAGCTAATAAGATGGCCCATAAAATAAAATCATAAAAAAATTTGTCAATTTGGCAAAATTCACAGTTTTAGGGTAGTCGGATACCTTAACCTGGGAGAGGTTAAGTGTGAC